GGGAACCGGCGGCGGGGCACCCCCTCCGGAGTCTCCCGGAGCCCGATCCTCCCGCCGCGGCCCGCGCGTCCTCCGCCCGGGGCGCTGTCAGCGGTCCCCGGCTGCACCCAGGCCGCCAGGACGCCTCGCAAAGGCAGCGGGAAAGTGGCCAAGAGAGGCTGGGGCGCTGGGAGAGGGGGCGCTACCTGTGCCCGGGTCCAGTCCCCAAACCAGCAGCAGCAGCAAGGGCAGGACGAGGGGAGGCAGCAGGGGGGCGTCACCCCGGGCCCCGCAGCCCCCGGCCCGCGGCGGCGGAGCAGGAGCGCGCGAGACGGCGGCGCCAGCCGGAGTGAAGCCCTCCAGCCTGTGGAAAAAAGTAATTAGCGCTGCGGACAAACCCAACGTGGTCCATCCCAAGCCCCACCTTCCCTTCGGAAAGCAGCAGCTGATTGGGCGCTCGCGCTCCGGGGCCCCGCCTCCTCCTTCCCTATTGGTCAGAATCGGTGGAGACCGTGGTGCGTAGTTAGGTTGTAAGCACTTTCTTACACGTGGTTTCTGGGCAGTAGCGGGGCCCCGACACCAGGGGGCGCGCGGGAGCCGCGCGATCCTGGAAGAGTCAGGAGGCCAAGGGGTTGGTCCTCCGAGCTTGTCCTCATTTTGGAAATCCGTTCTTATCCTTCTGCCCAGCTTCCAGGGGAAGACAAGGCCGGAAATCGTCCCGGACCACCAATCCGTTTCATCCAGAAAAGCATATTCTCTCTGCATCTAAATTAAAACCAGTTGAGGTTGTGCGTGGCTAGAAAGACTCCCAGGCCATTTGAGAGCATACACCTGGGTGGATCTATCCGCTGGTTGGATCAAAGTCCCCACACCTGCTGTGGTCTTTTTCCCAGAAGCCAGTGGGACAGGCTTGATCACACGCTTTTTTTAGTAAGATTTTTTTACTATAGGGCGCATGCGCTCACCAGAGAGGCAGAGGCAGGAAGCGAGAAATCGCCCCCCCCCCCCACAAGGGGGGGCCATGGCCG